GGATCCAGCTATACTAAGATTCTTGTACGGGTGCTTTGAGCCCGACTAGGATGCTCTTGCGCTTAGGTCCAGCTACAGGAGGATTCGATTAAACCGTGACCGAACACTCGTAGGATTCTATTACGGGGAGGGCCCACCTGTTTCGACCCCCCCCCTTGAACGACATGGGGGAGTGGAGGCCCTGGTTTGACACCCCACTCATTGGAAGGGACGGGGGGCGGGTTAGAGAGGCCGGTGTCCAAGGGGGGCGGGAGGGTTACTCCGGGGTTTCAAATGTTGTTAGGTGGGGGGGGGTCGGCGGCGGTTCCGACGTGTCCAGGGATTTGTTCCAAACAAGCGTGCACGACACGCGTTCTCTCAAAGAGCGCAGTCCGCTTGGAACGACCTCCAAAAGGCCTTCCGCACGCCTGCCCTTCCCGGGGCCACTCTCTAGGAACGTCTCCAGGCGCGACTTGCTGCTCACCGCTAGCGCACCACTGATAGCTACCACCTTCCTTTCACACTCCGTGCTCTGCGAGAGCTCCTGGCAACCAGCTCCATTGTCCCGGCATTGGGCCGCCGAGGGGCGTGCCCCAAGGCGGCACCCTTCTTTCACAGGGCTCCGAGGCGCACGCGTTCCAAAAAGTGCAAAAGATCTAGTCTCTTATCAGTTTTTGAAGTGCAGAGGGGGCGTGCCAAACCCTGATCACCAGAACCCGTCCGTCTTTTCCAGTCGGGCCCCCTTTTCGGCTGCGCCCCGCGGGAGGTTTCCGCCATCCCTGTCATTCACATGCGGCCCCTCCCGCCAATAAGGTGCCGGCAGGAGGCGCGTATACCCTCCGTCCGCGGAAGATAACCTCGTCCGAATTGTTGCGCTCTCCAAGAGCTCCTCCGCCTCCATCCTACACAAGCTGCAGGGCGCGCGCACACCCGAAGAGTCAGTGACTCCCGTCTCCCTCCTCCCCCCCTTCCCCCTCAACCCTTCCCTCTCCTCACTCCTCCTCCGATCCAGCCCACCGTATTCCGCCAGGCGGAATGACCTGTTGCTCACCTTTTGCGCGTGCTTGCCCCGCAGACCGCGGCGGGCGCACTGCTCGTTTTCAGTTTTGGTCCCCCATGTTGCCAACGTTTTGCATGCTGACGTGGCTGGAACAAAAGCCTCCCTCTTGCATGCTCCGCCTCCTCGTCGCTTTTCCCCGCCCTCCCCCCTTTCCCCCGCCCCGATCCTTCATCCCTCCCCCCCTCCTCTCCTCTTCTCTTCCTCCCTTGCCGCCTCCCTGCCCCTCCTCCCTCCCTCTTCTCCCTACGCTGCCTCCCTCCTTCCCATCGCCCCGTCCATCCCTCTCGCCCACCCCGCTGGCTTCGGGGCACGCCGCCCGCCTGTGACCTCGGGAGCGAGCCGGGGGGGGGAACCGCCAGGGCCTGGTGCGCCACATGCACGGCGGCCTGCGGCAGTGCTGCGCCCCCCTGCAGGACGGCGGCGTCGGCGGCGACTCCTCCGAGCTCAGCGTCGAGGCCTGCACAGGAGGAGGGGGAGGATGAGGAGGAGGCGAAGGAGGAGGAGGAGGAAGAGGAGGAGGAGGGAAGAGTGAGGGAGGGAGGGAGGGAGGGAAGGAGGGAGAGGGAGAGAGGGAGAGGGCGAGAGTGAGGAGGAGGGAGGAGGAGGGAGGAGGAGGAGGGAGGATGAGGAGGAGGAGGAGAAGACCCGTATCAAGCCTCAGTATGCATCAGCGATGCAGTAATATACCCTCTTTCCTCAAATCCGTTCCCCTGAAGTCCCTGCAAACCATCCTTCCCACTACAAGAACCCCCCGGACATACCAGCGCCCCCTTGGCCTGCCATTCAGGTGAGAGCCTCGTTTTGAAAAAGACGTGCTTTGGACCTTCGTAGCGAATGGCTCGGATTGCGCAGAGGTGTGATCACAGTTCAGCGGGGTGTCTGGCGAGGTCCCCGTTTTGAAACATAACCGCACCCCCATCCTTGTATGTTTGTATGTTTCACATTGTTTTGCACGTCTGGTCATCAGCGTCGAGGAAGTCTCAAACGATCGCGCCATCTTGAAACAGGAACTACTCTGCATCGCTGAAACTGCTGCAAACGGTCGAGACGAATGTATCCGGTGCTCAGGCAAGAGCCCCACTTTGAAATCTAGCCGCCCTCCATTCTCGAAGCAGTTGAAAGCCTTTGAGACGAATGTGCGCGGCGCTAGGGTGGGAGACCCATTTTGAATGCCACCCCCATCAATCCTCGAAGGTTTTCGACATTTCCATGGCGACTGTGCGCGGAGCTCGGGCGAGAGCTCCATTTTCAAAGCCACCAACCTCCATTATTGAAGTTCTGCAGGCGTTTAGGACGACGCAGGCGAGAGCCCGATGTTGAAAACGGCTCTCCTCCTCATCCATGAAGCGCGAGCAAATTTCAAGTTTCTTGATCATACAATCGTGAGGGCATCCAAGGCGAAAGGCCCGTCCCGCCCTACTGACACGCCTGCGCGTGCGACAGGGAACAGTTGTTAACAAGGAAAGGGGTGGTGGTGGGGGGCGGCAAGGGAGGGTAGGGAGGAAAATGATGAATTGGATCATGAGAGGGATGAGGATGAGGATGAGGAGCATGACCAGTAGCAGGAGTCCGGAGGAGGAGGAAGAGGGGGACGACGATGAAGAAAAGGAGGAGGAGGAGGAGGAGGAGGAGGAGGAGGAGTAAGTGGGGGAGACGAGGGGAAAGAGGAGGAGGTGCAGAAGGAGGAGGAGGACCTGGGAGGAGGAGAGGGGAGGAAAAGGAGTCCTTTACTCCACACCTAGGCCTGGGACCGTGGGGCCTGCGATCCGCAGGATCTCTTGGTGACGCTTTTCTAACTTTCCAGCTCGAGCTGCTGCAGCACACCCAATGCACTTGCAAGGCTCCATGCTCCAAGAACGGTAAAGTTTGGTTTTCCCTTCACATCTCCGCTGCGTCTCCTCCTCTGGCGGATCGACGCTGAGAGGCCTCTGACGTCGGCCTCACCTCTCAGGCCGCCCTACCTCCTCATCCTCTTTTCCTCTAGGTGCAGATGGCGATGAGGAGGCGGAGGAGGATGAGCCCCTTCTCCTCGCGGCCTGAGGCGCCCGGCAGCTTCTGCTCTGCCTGAGCGCGAGCTCTCGGCCCGGCGCACCGCCGTGACCGCTGCCCCCCCCCCCTGGCCCTGCCACTTCCCAGCACTCCTATCCAGCTCAGGCGCGCAGGTGCCTCGGAAACTGTTGCTGGCGCCAACCGCCTTGGAAACTCTGGCAACCATCGCACCGCGCCTCTGGCACGCGCTACTGCTGCCGGCTCCTGGCCACGAAGGCCTTTCTCTTGCCCGACCGGGCCGCTGCCTCCTCGAGTTTCGTGAGGCTTTTCCCCAGCACGGCACAGCCTTGCGTGCTGCCCCTGCGCACTGAGCCTCAGAAGCTCCCCTGCTGCGACCCGCCGCGCCCCTTCCTCACACCATGGTCAAGTCCGCGGCCGCCATGCTGCTCGCCACGCCGTGCGCCATGTCCCGTGCCTCCCAGAGGTACCCCGGGAACGCGTCACTGATCCAGCGCCCCCACCTCTGCGCCAGCGCTGTGTCTTTGAACGATGCGTACAGACGCGCCCCCGATCCTCAAGCTGTGGCAGCCGAGGTCGTTCGGTTCGATTCCGTCTGCCACGGCCTCCTGCATCACCACCCGGTGGACGTTCGCATGCGTGACCAGCTTTTCGTCGATGAGGGCGAACAGCGGGTCGTTCATCCTCACGCCTGAAAACCTGTCCTTCGCCTGGCCCTCGTACATAGCCAGGGCTTCAACGACGCACAGGCGGGCCTCCGCCTCCTCGCCTGCCACCGCCTCGACCTTGAAGTGGTTGCGCCACTCGCCGCGATTGGAACACCTCGTTTGCCCTAGACCAGCTACTACATGGTTCGCCCCCCGTCTTCGGCGCGACGCCCACACCTCGCAAACCCTACCTGCCCGTGTAACCGTCCTGGTTGCTGGGCACGTACTCGCTGGTCCTCGCGATGAAGAGGTCGCCCTTGGCCACCGCTGCCCAGAGAGCCGTTCCTTCACAAGACCTCTCCGGCTGCAGCCTCTTCTTGATCCACCGCATCATCCTCGGCGTGGCTGGCTTCATCTTGGGAGCACCGTCTCGCTCCGAGCCCATCGATCGCCATCCATGGCCCTCTTGCGCCCGCGGTCAGATCACCCATGCCTAGGGCCAAGTGCTGAGCCTGGACAGCGCTGAGGTTCTGCTTGATGGCGCCCGCCTTCTTGTGCCCGCGCCTCGCCATGTGCGCGACGAACTCCAGCATCAGCACCTCTTCATCCCTCCTGCTGGCTTGGGTGACCCCCTAAGCGGGCTGATCTCGCGCGCGCTGCAGAAAAAATGGGCCGCCGCGCCAGCGCCAGCCCAAACTGTGCGACTTGATGGTGGAGCTCACCAACCTTTCCAGGATCAGCTCGAGCTTGGCCTTCTCCCAATCCTCGCGCGTCTTCAACTCAGTCATGATCAGGTCGTCGGGCTTCGCCTTGTCTAGCGCCGCCTCCAGCCCCGGCAGGTTCGAGGGCTGGTTGGTCACAATGGGTCTTGCCATTGCCCCTCTTCTGCCTCGCCTTCTGCTCCTTCTGGGCGCTGGCGCCCGCCATCCTCTCCTCGGCCCCCGTGGGCGGCGTGGCAGCCATCGCCCAGTCCAGCCAGCCTGGCCCATGGTCCGGGTGGCCCCGGATTTCCACAAGCTGGTCCAGCTGCAATGTTCCAGGGGGCCACTGCGCCTGCCATTATCCGCGTCTCTGCTAGCGAGCGAACGCAAGCTTGACCGGATGTCGGCCGGCACCGCGTGTCCCTTTTAAGCAGCGGGCGACCGCCCCTGGGTCGACGGGGCCTGCGCCGTCCGATTCGGGCGAGCTGGCCCCCCCGCGGCTGCCGTGAGGGGCTTAGCGCTCGCTTCTCCAAGATGCGCGTTGTTCTGGTGGCGGGCCGCCTCGCTGTTAAAGCTGCGGTCGCGCTCCTGCAGGGCTGTCGCCCTCGCCGCCCCTTTCCCTGGGGGCTCTCGGCCCCTCGGCCCCTCCTCTGCGTCTAGCAGGTCTTCGCGTCCTGCTGCGGAGGATGTTGCTCCGCCCCCATTGCCGAGCGTCGGTGCGCGGCGCGGAGAGTCGCCGCGGGCCCCCTCCGCCCATCCCTGATCTGGCATCGGGAGAGGCCCCCGCTGCCGGGACAAGGCCGCCACCCCTCGGCTGGGGCGCGGCGGCGCTGAGCGCCTCGCGCGCGCCGGGGCCTCCCGCCGCCTTGGGGCGGGCAGCGCGCCCTCCGTCATACAGAGGCCTCGGCAGCTCCATGCCTTCAAGGCATGGGGCTGCCCCCCAATTCGCGGCGGGGGAGCGCTCGGCGGGCCGCTCCTTGCGCTGGCGCCCAACTTCCGCGCGGCGAATGCGCTTGGGCACCTCGTCATCCAACTCCGGCCCCTCTGTGACCTCGACGGGCCCCTTCGCTATCCGCTGGGCGCTCGGGGCCTCCGCGCGGCGAGGTGCACCCTCTCTCCTGCCCTGCCGGGCAGCCTGCTCTACCGCTGCCCGCCCCGCCTCTGCGCGGCCTCGCCGCGGATGGCGCCCCGGCCTCCCGGCGCGATTCCCTCGGCGATGGCGTTAGACTGGGTTCCGTCGTCCGGGGGCTCTGGCTCTGCCGTCGTTTCTTTTTCTTTTCCTGTCTGCATCGGCCCCCTCCGCCTGTCGGGCGGGGCCAGGCGCCCCCGCGCTGCCCTTGGCCATGCGGGCCCTTCTCGCAGCGCCCGCAATGGTTCGCACTCCCTCTCGCCCAGCCCTCGTTCGCGAGTTCCCCCGCGCACGTGTCGCGGCAATGGCCGGGCCGCCGCGGCGCGGCAGGGGCGCTGCGCGCCGGGCGCGGACAGCCCCGCTGGCCGCGCGGCTGCCCCCCCTGCGCCGCCGCGAAGCTCGGTTCCGCCGTCTCGACACCTCCCGGAGGCGCGCGGGGCGGGGTACGCGGGCGCGCCTCTCGTCGCGCTCGGCCGTTGCAGGTCCGCTTCCGCCCGCGGGCCCCGCGCCTGCTCGCCGTCGAGCGAACCTGCCCGCCTCGCGTTGCCCGCCGTTGGCTCCCTCGTGGGAAGTGCAACCTCGCTCTCCACATCGACGTCCTCGGGTGTCAACGCCACCAGCGTCGCCCCGACGTCCGCCGCCCCCGACGTCTGCCCCGCCCGCGGCGCCTCGCCCCCAACCCCCCCATCAAGCTTGGCGCCGGGCCCTCCGAGGAGTGCGCGACCTGTTTCGCCTCCTCTTCTCGAGGTGCCAGTGGCCGCCCCTGGGCCGCCTCGCTCAGGCGCGCGCGGGGTGGGCACCACCGCCCGCCTTCGCCTCGCAGGCGCGCGGCGTCCGTCCGTGCCTCGCCCAGGCGGGAGCGGGCGCACATCGGCTCGACGTTTTGTCGGCTTTGGCTGGCGGGCTCTCCGCCTCCTCTGACTGCCGGCGTTGCGCCTGGCCGTGGCGTCGCCCAGCTCCCAGTGGCATGC